GGAAAGCATGCAGGGAGGGGAGGGGGCTTGTGCAGGTGCTGGGGGACTGCAGGGACTCAGACAGCTTTCATAGCTGCTTTTGGGCCTTGGCAAGTGGCAGCCTGGAGAGAGCCCTTCAGACTGGCGGGGGTGAGGTGTAAAGGAGGCTGGGGTGGACGAGAGGACACTGAGAGGCTGCATGGAGCTGGGGTGGAACCCATCCCATGAGAGGCCGAGGCCAGACAGCCTGGGTAGCACAGAGGAGAGCTTTCCCCCTGCTCCTCTCTTGCAGGTCCCAATGCCCTCTTGGCCCCTGCTGAGACCCCTCATGGATTGTCTGCAGGTCCTGGTGATGGGCCTAGGGCAGAGGGTGGGGAAGGTTTCCTGGGAATGAGGGGAGCATGGAGGCTGGAATGACTCAGGGGAGGTAAGCTGACCCCAGAGTTCCTTTCCAGAAGATTCAGGGGCTGTGTCCTAGGGTCTCCAACCCAATGGCCCAGGGGCAGAACTGTGACACATAGCCCCTTCTAGAGTCTAATCCCCTCCCCCACAAGAACCTCCAGGTTAGGGTGTGGCCAGAGCCAGCCACCAAAGAGAACCAGGAGATGCTTCAAGGGGGCCACCAGCAGGAACAGCAAGGTATGATGGGAAGGGGCCAGGAATGCCTTTGAGTACCATCCCTGGGGGGCTGGCATGCTGTCCTGCCCTATGCAGGTGGGTGGTCTTGACACAACTGCCCAGCCTACAGCCAAGCCTTCTCCCTGCTCTCCCGTCCCTTCTTGATATGCACATCAGATCCTGGTGCCCTTTGCAAAGTGTTATTTGCAAAGGAGCCCCAGGGAGGTGGGGTGGGTGAGGAAAGGTGCCTGCTTCCCTCCCGCCACTGGCCCTTGCTGGGACTCGTAGGCAAATGCCAGCCTAGGTCCTTGCCGGCTCCCTGGCTTCAGGTGGGCAAACAAGAACCCAGTGCCTCCCCAGTGCCACATGTGGCATGGCCTCATCCTTGTCTGAGTTGCTCCTCAGCTCTGCCAGAGGTGGCCTGGCCTCTGAGCTTCCTGCTGCCCGCTGTGGGGCCCGCTCTGGACCCCAAGCCCTCTTCCAGGGTCCCTCAGCCCTGAGCTCATCTCCCCTGTACCTCTCTGTGAGCCCAGAGCCTCTTCGGCTGTGTGCTAGGACACAATTGCTCTGGTCTTCCCCATTTCTTTTCCAAGAATGGAAGCAGAACGGCAAAGTATCCCATCCCCTGAGCAGCTCCCACACAGTGGCTCTGCCCTGTGTGGGGGGCAGAGGGCTGGGAGGAAGGTGAGTGGCTTTGGCATCAGGGCTCCAGCTGCAGGTCTGCCACCTTCCAGCCTGGGACTTTGATGGTGGTTTCCTGTCTCTAAACAGAGGCAGGGATGCTGACCTCACAGGGTGGTGGTGATGCTGAGTGACTGGAGTCACGGGAGAGCCCAGCACAATGGCTGGCATGAAGTAGCTGCTTAAATTAAGTTCCTTTCCGCTCTCCTCTTTGGGGCCCTAAAGAAGAGGTGGCATGAGAAACCAGGGTCCTGCAGGGATTTAGCTCAATGGCACAGGGCCTGCCTGCAAGTCTGAGGTCCTGAGTTCGATTCCCAGTAACATCTCCCCTCAAAAATAAAATAAAATAAATAAATAAATAGAAAAAAAAGACAGACCGGGATCCATGGAAATAGCTTTCCAGAGGCAAGGGGCCGCTGGGCGTGATGGCACACACCTGTGATCCCAGCACTGGGAGGCTGAGGCAGGGTTCAGGGCAATTCTATTTCTCCAGGCGGATGGGAAGGGAGCTCGTGCCAAGCCCCAGGGCCCCTGTGGTGCTGCTGCACCCCTGTTCCTAGCCTGGGCAGGGATAGGATCCCTCACGGTGGAGGGTGGGCTGTCTGGTGGGGAAGGCTGGATGTAGGGGGGCTGCCTGTGGGCCTGCAGCACCCCTCTTCACGCAGACTCCCCCAACTCATAATCCGATTTATATTCCTATGCCCGCCTCTGGACCCGTCACCATGGCAACAGCTTTCTCAGTTTCATCAGCTTCTCTGCAAATCTTTTTTCCTGCCCCCTCCTCAGTCCCTCTTTTCTCCTCCTCCGGCAGCCTGCTTTCCCCCAGGCTCACAGGCTCACCTGTTTCTTTCGCTCCTCCGATTCTTCTCTCTCTGTCCCTCAAGGCCTCGCTCCCTCCTCTAGCCAGATCCTCTCTCTGCAGCCGGCCCACCTGCCTCTCGCTTCTCAAGCTCATGACTGAAGCAACCAGCTGGGATCTGCTGGTCAGCGACGTCTTGTGCCCCTTTTTGGGATCAGGATAGAGAGGGAGGACTCCCGGGGGACAGGGCGTGGGCCCCCAAAGGTCCTGACCAAGGCCTGTGTACATTGCAGGGTGAGCAGGTGGGAGTCAGCTCTGGCTGATCTGGGTCTGCCTGGGGCAGGTGAGGATGGGCAGGGGCCTTAGTACTGAGCAGCAGCTTCTCTGGGCATCATCAGAGCCAGCCTGGTTCTGGGGGGTCCTGCAGGGCACTTCCCTCGGTTCACTTCCCAGCGTATACTCGGGGACCGCAGCCAGTGCTCACAGCTACCACAGGTGCCGGTTCTTCCCCAAAACCCAACTTTGGCTCTGACTCCCTCTTACAAGTCCTCGTGAAATCTACCTCCCTGCTGTCACGTCCCCTGGCATGCTCAGTTCAAGGGGCCTCGACATGCACGGGCTTCCTCAAGCCATCCTGGGCCTTGGCACCTCCCTGTCACCACACGGTGTAAAAGCTTTGGTGCTGCCTGTTGGTAGTGACCTGTGGGGGCTCAGAATACGTTTCCTGTTTCATAGGCCCTGGCACGGTGGTACCAGGACGTCTCTGAGGGAGCAGGTGCGTCTCTGCCACCCTCCACATCTAGCTAGACCCCAACATGTGCTCATTCTCCTTGCAAAATGTCATTCATACCTGCTTCTGTCCCCCTGCAATTTCATATACATCACCCAGAGCAGGCACCCAGCAAGTGCATCCACTTCCACAGGGGAGTCCCCATCCAGAAACTAGACCTGTCTGAAACACACGTTCTTCCCATCCTCTTCACCCCCTTTCATTTTCTTCACTGACTGAGCCCCTACTATATTCTAGGCTCAGCAACACGCAGCCTTTCAGCCAGGCGTGGTGGCACACATGTGTAATCCCAGTGCTCGGGAACCCGAGGTGGGAGGGTTGCTGCAAGTTCAAGGCCAGCCTGAACTGCCCCGTCTCAAAAACACATGGAGTCTGATTTAATCTTCATAATAATGGAGATAGTATTGCATTTTACCTAAGAGGAAATTGGTGCTCGGAGTGGTTAATTTGCCCAAAGTGTTGGGGTTTTTTTTGTTTGTTTTTGTTTTGTTTTTGCTATACCAGATTCCAGTATGGCTTTTACAGTCAAAAACTTTTTGAGATCTGGGTATGGTGGCTCACATCTGTAATCCCAGCACTCAAGAGGCTGAGGCAGGAGGATCATTATGAGTTTGAGACCAGCCTGGGCTGCAAAGTGAGCTCAAGGCCAACCTGAACTGCATAGAGAGACCCTGTCACCACAAAAAACAACAAAAAAAGCTTTTTGAGCCTTTTTTTTCCCACCAGAGTCAACTGAGGAATTTGATTTGTATATATGTTTTATATCCCTAGAAAAAGAATCCTCGGATTTTCCCTTCTGTTTTCATTTTGCTTCTTTGTGGTCCATGATGCCAGCTGAGGTTGTCAACACCAGGACATAGGACTGATGGGATGGAAGCGGATTGTTCTGTATTTTCTGGCTCATTCAGCTCTGCATCAAACTTTGGGCTGATTACTCCCCACTTGTTTAACCAGCCTGTGAAGTTCACAATTTTTCCAGCCCTGTGACCCTTAATGATTTCAAAGTCACTGATGTAACCGTGCTTTAACATCACAGTTAGAGGCTGCATGATGACTTTTGTTGTTGTTGGCTTTTATTTGTTTATTTTGAGACAAGGTCTTGCTTGTGTAGCCTAGGGTGGCCTGAAATTTGAAATAATCTTCCTGCCTCAGGCTCCTGAGCACTGGGGTTACAGGTGCACACCACCGTGCCCAGCCCAGACGATGACTTTGTAGCAGGGCCTGTAAGGATCTGGCTTTCAAGAGCATCATGCACACCATTATGACTCGGTCACTAAAGGGAGGTCAGACACAGGGCTGGCAGGCCACAGCCTCTGGGAACTGTTGGAAGCAGTTGGAGCCCTAAACCAGGCTCCCTGGGTGCAACTCCCTGAGTGTCCCTTGAGCCTGCTTAGGCCCCCAGGAGGCCAGGATCCCTAGCACAACAGGGTCCAGAGTAGTCCTCATAGGGCCCCGAGACCAAGGCTCAAACTCTGAGCCTTCTGATTTCCTTTGTCTCTCACTCTGCCTCTTTAGGGTCCTGGCGATCTGACCCTACGATTCTTCTCCATGTGACATGATTTGATGTTGACCAGAAGGACATATTGTGCTTTATAGTTTAGTCCTGTTAAATAGTGTTAACAGCTTATATAAAGATTCAAATAACATACAAGCCTGGAGCGAAGTAAAAATCACAGATATTAAAATCTTGCCATTAAAAGGTAGAATAAAGGGGCTGGGCATTTAGCTCAGCAGCATAAGCGCCTGCCTTGCAAGCAGGCAGTTATGAGTTCGATCTCCGGTACCGATAAAAAGGAAAAAGACAAAAAAAAAAAAAGGTGGAATAAGGTTCAGAAAATCAGTTCCTAGCTGGGCGTGGTGGTGCATGCCTGTAATCCCAGCACTCGGGAGGCTGAGGCAGGAGGATCATTGCAAATTCGAGACCAGCCTGGGTTATAGAGTGAGCTCAAGGCCAGCCCAAACTGCATGGCAAGGCCCTGTCTCAAAGCAAACAAACAAATCAGTTCCTAGGGAGGGAGGAGACAGGCAACTTTCTCCAGAATGGGAGAAAAAAAGAGAAAACAACAAACCCCAAGGGGCTGCACCAACCCTCTCACAGGGAGACACAGTGACACAAGAGACAGAGAAGCTGTGTGGACCACAGAAGGCAGAGGGGCTGCTGGGAGCCCACGAGCTGACTGTACCCACTTAACACAGGGAGAGACAGAGCAGCAGGGTGAGGGGTGTGCGTGCAGTGCGGCCGGCCGTGGGTTCTGACTAAACCACCTAGAGATGAAAGGGAACCCTGAAATTCCTTTTTTTCTCAATTCTTTTTCTTTTTTTTTTTTTTCCTTTTTATCGGTACCAGGGATTGAACTCACGACCGCCTGCTTGCAAGGCAGGTGCTTATGCCGCTGAGCTAAACCCCCAGCCCCTTTTTCTCAATTCTTTAGTTTTGGGTTTTGTCTTGTTTTTGTTTCTGTTTTGAGACAGGGTTTTACTATGTCATCCAGGCTGGCCTTGAGCTCACTGTGTAGACCAGGATGGCCCCACACTCACAGTGCTCCTCCTGCTTCAGCCTTCCGTGTGCTGGGATTACAGGTAAGCGCCACTTTACCTGTTTATTGCTAGTATTTGGACTAAGGGGTCCAGAATGTATTTAGCTCGCGTGTCCTGGCACTGTCATAGGACCCAGTATGGTCACAGGGATTGGGGGCTCCAGGAAGCAGCCCCTTAGTTCCTGCGGATGGAGTGCACATAGTCTTAAAGCGGTGAGGTCCTGCAGGGACAGACATTACACCCATTCCCTTCATTAGAGCTGTGCCTTTAACAGGCTCTCTAAACTGGGATTTCAAGTTGCAAATGCCCCAGGAGTTAGAATAGGTTATGAGTCTTAACCTGAAGAATGGGAGGCTTAGGGAGGTGAATCCATTTGCTTGAAACCCTTGAGCAGGTTTTAGGCCTGGCTGAGACTTTGACTCTGCCTGGCCCAGGGCTTCACCCGCAACTCAAGGATGACTTTTGAGAATGAGCCAGAGAGCTACATGGATATAAATAGGGTCATGCAGAGAGAAAGGGCGGCCCAGGAGACCGGCAGTTCTCAGCCACCCTTTGGGCTCTGGGGATGTCCAGATAAGGAGGCCAAGCCTGCCTTTCTCCATCTTTTGGCCTCACAGGGAAATGAGCCAGAAACAGGAAGAAGTCCAATGGAAAGTTGGAAACAAGCACTGCAGTGGTATTCTGGAAAGAGTCTGGATGGGGATTAGATGGCTTGGGTCCCTCTTCCAGCGATCACTCGCCAGCCACGTGATTTTAAGCAAGGCCTTTCACCACCATGTTAATCTTCCACCTCTTAAAAATAACAGTCCCATAGCGCTACTTGTAAGAGCTTATTAGTGCAGTAACTAAGTATATTCTGTGAGTGCTGCCCCCAGTGCTCCTGGCTCAGCATGGGCTGAGATAGGCCCCTGCCTTTAGTACAAGATTTAGAGGGAAAGAAGCCTGGTGTGTGGTAGTCATTATAATCCCAGCATGTGGGAGGCTGAGGCAAGAGGATCACAAGTTCGAGGCCAGTTGGAGCTACACAGTGAGTTTCAGAAAACAAAACAAACAAAAAAAATTAAATGGCAAGAATTATGTACCCCTCCGCCCCCAGGACTCAACTGTCTTGGACCACACAAGAAGTGGGAGGTGACTGACTGGTTGTGACTTTTTATGGTGCCCTGCCTCTGACAGCTTCTTCTGGGCTTCTGCTCATTTAGTGGCAGTGGGGATCAAAGCCAGAACCCTGGACTTGATCAGCATGTGCTCTACTGCTGAGCCCTACCCCAGTCCTCCTCCTGGGTTTAAAAGCTCTGTCCTTGGGCTGGGGATTTAGCTCAGTGGCATAAGTGCCTGCCTGGCAAATGTGAGGTCGTGAGTTCGGTCCCTGGTATCAAACAAAAACCCCACAAACAAACAAAACTCTGTTTTTATGTGGCTCAGAACTTAGTGTTTTTCTCTCATAAAGCCCACTCTTTCTGTCTCTGTTTGCAGGATAAAGAAGATCACGGAGCTAACTGTATTCAATTATTCCGAGCTAACTGTATCCAATTATTCTAAAATTTGAAGAAACTGAGGCCCACAGAGTGGGAAACACATATTCTGGACTCGTAGACCAGTCTTCTTTCCTGTGGGACTGGAGGACTCACTAGAAGGGTTGTATGGGAACACAGCTTAGAGACCTCTTACAACATCTGGCTGTGCGCTCTTGCTCAGATCTGGTTACCTTTTTACAGGGAGATGTATCTTTCTGTGGCACCTGGTACAAGCTTTGCACTCGTGCCTGGATAGAACAGCTCCAAGGTGGCAGAACTTTCAGTTCAGGTGCTGATGGCTGGGTCTCTCCTAAGTGTCCCTCAAGCTCTTATCACTCTGACTCGAAGTCCTATCTCCATGTCTGTCCCCAACTAGGCTGTCGGCAGCTCTGTGAGGAGGACCGTAGTTATCCTTTTTTTTTTCTTTTGGTACCGGGGATCGAACTTGTGACCTTGTGCTTGCCAGGCAGGTGCTTATGCCAGGACCGTAGTTATTCTTTTTGTGTGTGGGTGTCTTTTTCCTTTTTATCGGTACCGAACTTACGACTGCCTGCTTCTAAAGCAGATGCTTATGCCGCTAAGCTAAATCCCCAGCTCCAGGACTGTAGTTATTCTGTCCCCAACTTATAATTAGTGGCTAGTCCAGTGCATGGCACATAATAGGTCCACAATAAATATTTGTTGAATGAATAAATAGTTGGAGTTGGGCAGAGAAAGGTCCTGGAAAACAAGACAAGTGGCAAATTGGGTATCACTACGTGAGGAAAGGTCTCCTGCCAGTAAACTACCTGTGCAAAGGGAAATCTTAGCGCAAAGCTGACGACAAGAAGTAAGGCCTCGGGGGTGGAGGGAGGCCTTTTAGCTCACTGGCTTTGCTAACCCGGGAGGGCTTCTGAGTAGATGGCAAAAGAGCTTACAGCAGTGCTGGATATAAAAGGAAGCGACTGTGAGTTTCTAGAGTCTCAAGCAATTTATTTGGACGGAGAGAAACGTTTGGCTACAGGCGCGGGAAGCAGAAGGGACCAGGTAGCTGGTCAAAGCTTTGAACCTGGTTAGCATCCGATTGGGGTCCAGCTGGAATGGGAGCCTGGGAAGGCCTGGAGCACGGAGAGCAAGGGGAGAGCCAGCTTCCCCCAGGGAACCCCTCTGTTTAACCCAGATGCACCCGGGAGACGGCCCTCCAGGTGCCAAGGCCTTTGGGGCTCATAAGTAGAGGCCCTAAGGCGAAGATCTGGCAGCAACTGAGGCACCCCGCTGAGGGGAGGGCAGCTTGGCAGGGATCGTGGTGCTCCCTCTTTGCCCCTAGAGGGCTTCCACCCCTCGGGAGGTGCTGTTCCCTCGGGAGGAGCGCGCAAGGCTTCTTCCGCGAACCCTTACAGAAACGTACTTTTTGCCAGCGGTTGCTAAGCCAGATCCGACCACGAGGGGGCAAAAAAAAAGGCCTCCCTTAAGGTCAGGGTCCCTCCCTCCCATCTACTCGCACCTGAGGCCAGGATGGGCGGTGCCTCACCTGGCTCCCACGTAGAAGCCTGGCTCCGTTAACCCATTCCTGCCAAGTCTGGAGTGCCTTCCTCGGGCAGTCGTTCACAGCGGGATTGGGCAAATCTGCCAGGGAGCGCAACGTCGCCTGGCGGAGGCTCTAGGATAGGGGTTAAGTCAGGGTTTCCAGGAGCTCAGGTCCCGGTCCTAGCTGGGACGGGTAGCATTTCTCTGAGATGGGTGACAGCTCCTCTGGCTGCAAGCAGGCAAAGGCTGCAGTCACTTGCTCTGGGGCCTCGGAGGCTGCACACAGAGGAGGCGCTCGGGCGGCTGCAGAGCCCAGCCTCCTGGCTGCTCGAGTCCGTCAGGGCTTCGGGCCCATCTAGAAGGGGCTGGGAGGGTAGCAAAGTGCAGGAGAGGCGCAGAGCGTGGGAAAGGAGAGGGGGCCAGCGACACTGGGCAGGGGAGCAGGCTGGATGCCGCCGCCAGGTGCCGGCTTTGCGGGTCGCTCCTCCTCCGGGGCCCCGCAGCTTTTCAGGGATCTGACCAGTCCAGGCTCTGAGGTTGCATTCCGGGCCACAAGGTGTTAAACTGTGGGTGGGAATGGGGTCTGGAATCCCCCCCTCCTCCCGGCGTCACCACCTCGGAGTTCGCCGGGCTGGCACGTAAGGAGTTAAGTCTGCCCGCAATCTGCAAGACTGGAGCCGGCGCGGGTGGAGGGGAGAGGCGGGGGAGCGGCGGCGAAGGGGGAAGCAGACTGCAGGGAGACAGCGCCAGGAACCCCCTCCCCAGGGGCCTGGCCCCCGGCCCCCAGCCCCAAAAGAGGCCCTGCCCTCCCCGGGGTCGTGCTCCCTTCCTCCGCCTTGCCCCCGCCCTCCAGCTTTGTGTCCCCAGGAGGGTGGGCTGCAGGATCTCCAGCCAAGCCTTGGCTGCCTGCTCAGTTTTTCCAAACCCTCCAGTCGGGGAAGGCGGGAGCCCTGTCAGGATAAGAGTCCCTCCCCCCTGCCCCTATCGGCCCCCTCTCCCAGTCTCAGGTTTTCCAGGCCCCGCACCTTCTCCAAACTCATTTCCCTTTCCGACCCTGGTCCTTGAGCCCCCTAGCCCCACCTCTGTGGGCTTCTGGGTTCCAAGTTCAGGGTGTAGGGGGGCCAGGACGTTCCCATAATCTTAGATCAGCGCTGGTAGAGCCACACAACGCTGGCCGACAGGGAGACCTGCGGGGCGCCGGCGCGACTACCGGTCCGGCGCCCACCCAGTCCCACCAGGGAAGGTGCCTGTGGGGTCTCCCTCCCCGGGACGGAGGTGGTGCTGGGGACGCCGGCAGAGCGGGCTGCAGGCTCTGTGCGGCAGGTGCCAGGCCTTAGGGCAGGCTTTGAGGGGCAAAGTGTTCCCAGGGTTGGCACGGATCTGTCCAGCAAGTCTATTATATAATAATCACCATCTATCAGGAAGCCAGGCTGCTGGAGTGAGTGGGGAAGCCAAGATGCCCAGATCTGCTCCTCCTCCAGGGCCCGAGCAGGAGTCTCCACCAGGATGGGGGTGTGGGCGCAGCAGTGGAATGATGTGGGGGGTCTAGGGGCAAGTGAGGGGCGCTGGGCAATCCAACTGCGGCCCGCACGCCCCACCCCCAAACGCTGACTGACAGCGTCCTGAGCCAATGATTGAAGTCACTGTGGGGCTCCAGGTTAACCCGTTCCTGGGTCCCAGCTCATTTAGGGGATAGAGTCTCTTCTCCGGAGCTCTCCCGGCCAGAACCGCTCCTACCGTCTTCAGCTAATGCAGGAGCTAGTGAAGAGCACCAACTGGAAGATCCGTGCATTCTAGTCACCCCAGAAACAGGAGGATGCTGTGATCTCGGGTGAAAGGCAGCTCTAGGGCCGCCCCTTCTCCGCCCCCCAGCCCCAAAGTAAATCGCATGACAAGATAAGGTTGTGTGCCCGAGCGGCACTGGCATACCCACAGTGGGACACAAACAGTCGTGTTCACACATCCATACCCATACCGGCACTTCCACTGACCAACGCCGACCCCGCGGCGCGCGGACACACCTGTGACAGCCCTGCGACACAGTGCCGTGCACACACGGAAACACACGGTACTTCCCCGAGTTGGCCAGTAGAGGGCGCCGCTCGATTCCCGCAACGGGCCGCTCGCCTCTCTCCCTCCTGCGCTCTCGCTCCAGGGATCCACCCAGAACTCGTGGCCGCCCGCCCCGAGCTCCGGCTCGGCATCCCGACCTGGAAGCTGCGCTCGGGGAGTGAGTCACTGCTCCGCCCAGGGGAGCGCTCCGCAGGCTGCTCCAAAGGACATACCGAACACTCCTGAACTTTACTGTGCAACATATTCGCGATCCTCCGCAGCTCTGCTGCCACTCACCCCTACAAACATTGCTTCCCGGACCTACTATGAATGGGGCGTGTGCCAAAGGGATCATGTAGCTTGATACCTATGACCGACCCATCTAAACGGAGTGGACCGTTCTAACAAACGCCCTCTGAGAGCTGGCCGGCTGCCTTGTGGCCCATTCTGTGCCTTGGACTCAGAGAAGAAATCAAACCTTGTTTTTGTAGGTCCTAGCACTAGCTTTTCACAACAGAGTTCGGCCTCTTTGAGCTTCAATTTTCTTCCCTCTCACTGAAGATAAGACCCATTTCATAGCATTGATGATTCTAACTCCAAAGGCGGCTTGCCCAGCGGTTAGTAGGTACTATCCTTGGGAAAGGTTTGTTGATTGGGTTAAAGCTCTCTCAAGAGATGAGGTACATGAAATGCTTTGTAAACTGTGATGTGTGGGGTGCACATGATGGCCACAGTGCTAGCATGTTACCTGTATGTTGTCCCTCTTGCCCAGTGTCCAGTTTCTGGTACCATCAACCCATCAAGTCAGCATTGACTGAAGTCCTTCTATGAACACAGCTAGCTGTTGAATCAGTCTTGTGGGGAACACAGAGGACACAGGCATAGGCTGGCCTCAGGAGTCTTTGGGGGTCCGTCAGATGTACACACAGGAGAGATGAGACAAAGCCTGTACACGAGTGGGGAGGTGGTTGTGCAGAACTGATACATGGTCAGAAGAGGGACACAGGGTGGGGAACTGTGCAGAGGCCATCTGTGAGATGAGAGTATGGGAAACGAAAAGGAGTCCTTCCTTTCCAAAGCAGTCAATGCTTGTTGCTCCTAACATGCAAGGAATGTATCCTGGCAGAGGAAATGTATCCTGGGCATTTTAGCCATTCCTGAGTATGGCTTAGGTAATGCAGGTCTTAGTTTTCTCAGCTGTAGAATGGGACCATAACAGCTTTTTTGCAGGTTTGTGGAAAACACTGAAATAACATGTGAAATACTTTTTAAAAATTACAATTCTTTTTTTTACAATGTATTTTTTAATGCATTTACTGCCCATAGAGCAGTGTGTGTGTGTGTGTGTGTGTGTGTGTGTGTGTGTATGTGTGTAGTTTTTGAGGTTAGGAGAGAGTTCTTTTGAGAAGACAAAGGTTTCACTTTCAGAAATATTTTCATAGCATCCCCTGGAGCTGCTGACGATTAAGATGAAAAATTTCTGTCTGTGTCCTGAAAGACCTCACGG